CCAGAAAGGGCTTGGACAGATGTGCTACATACTCTAAGAGACCATGGATGCCAGCCTAGAGTACTATACCTAGCACTGACTTGTATGGAGAAAGTTCATTCAAGCAACTTTACAGTACACCTGGAAGCTCTAGAACAATAACCAAAAAATAATCATACCCAAAAGGAGTATATAGCAAGAAATAATAAAACTCAAGGCTGAAATCAATAAAATAGAAAAAAGAAAACAATACATTCAGTGTAACAAAGAGTTGGTTGTTTGAGAAAGTTGACATGATAGACAAACCCCTGTACAAATTAACTAACAGGCAGAGAATTTCAAAATTAAAAAAAATCAAAAGTGAAAAGGGGAACATAACAAACACTGAGGAAATCAAGAGAATCACAAAGGTGTGCTTTAAAAACAACAAATTGGGAAATCTAAAAGAAATGGATATTTTTCTTAATAGAGACCACTTACCAAAGTTAAATCAAGATCATATAAACAATTTAAATAGACCTATAACCCCTATGGAAATAGAAGCAGTAATAAAAGCCCAGATGGTTTCAGCAGAGAACTATACGACAAACTAATGCCAATATTCCTCTAAGTATTGCACAAAAAAGAAACAGAAGGAACATTGTCCAATTTATGAGGCCAGAGTCACCCCGATTCCCAAACCACACAAAGATTCAACAAAGGAAGAGAATTACAGACCAATTTCCCTCATGAGCATTGATGCAAAAACACTCAATAAATTACTGGCCAACCGAATCCAAGAACAAATCAAAAAGACCATCCACCATAAACAAGTAGGTTTCATCCCAGAGATACAGGAATAGTTTAATATATGAAAATAAAATAAATCTACCATATACATAAATTGAGAGAAAAAAAGACATGATCATCTCATTAGGTGCAGAATACGCCTTTGACAAAATCCAGCATCCTTTCATGATAAAAGTCATAAAATAAATCTGCCATATACATAAATTGAGAGAAAAAAGACATGATCATCTCATTAGGTGCAGAAAAAGCCTTTGACAAAATCCAGCATCCTTTCATGACTAAAGTCATACAGTGGTCTGCACCAGGGTCTTGGCATATATTTTATACCTTTCAGTTTAGTATTTTTATGGGACCCCTGAGTGTTTGAACCAGTGGGCCTCTGATTCTTCTGTCTTCTCTTGGAGCACCTTTCCTTCTGTTGGTTTGCTTTGTCCTCCTTGATGTGATTGGTTTTTGCTTTCTTTTATTATATTTTATTTTGTTAAAAAATTAAAATGAAAATAATTTACTACCATCTCACAAGGGACATAGCTAATACATCTTTCAGACAAACTTCTAATCATTTGACATCTGTAGTCTATAAAATCTGATGCTTATAAAAAAGGAAGAAAGAAAAGAAATAGGGGCAAGAGTGAGAACAAAGGCAGAGTATAAAGTAGCTTTATTCTAGGAAGTCAATAACTAATAAAATATTTTCTTACTTCCTATGATATAACATTTACATTTTATTGAAAATGAAATTGTCAGTGAGGTTTATCACATAGAAAACTATACAGAAAATCAAAATATGCCTTGAAATACACAGTTAAAAACTAAGCTTTGTTTGAATATTAAACAAAAGAATTTGTCAAGAAAGTCAATTGCTAGTCAATAGTTATATCATAAAATGTGAGTTTTATGGGAGGCCTCACCCTCTCTGAGGAGTGGATGGGTAGATGGTAGGGGGATTTTGAGGACTGGAAGGTGAGGGAACTGGGATTAGAATATAAAATAAGGGGTTTTATTTTAAATAAAAAACTAATAAAAAGAATCAAAATTGGAAATGAAGTACTAGAATAAACATGGAAAGATTATTACTTAGCTTGCTAGAAATAAAACAAGCACTATTGGAATGTCTGGGTCATTTTTCACACAATATACACTGCCGACTAAACAGTTTATCAAATGATGTCAGTGTTTTATTCAGACATTGCTACTCATTTTTAAAGAAGAAAATATTCCAAAGTTGAAACCAGCTATGAGAGACATTTTAGATTTTCTGCTGAGTGTTTAGCTGTGTGTGTTGCTTCTGCTTCCATCAACTACTAGATGACTTGATGAAGGCTCTAGGATGGCATATAAGGTAGTCTTCAATCTTATTATCAGGGAAGGGCATTTAAGGTAGCCTCACCCCTATTGCTTAGATTGTTAGTTGGGGTCATCCTTGTAGATCTCTGGGCAGTTGCAGAGATGGAAGAATGATGAGCAAATGGGTCAAGACCAGGCTGGAGAAACCCACAGAAACTGCTGACCTGAACAAGTGGGAGCTCTTAGACTCTAGTCTGATAGCTGGGAAACCAGCATAGGACCATCCCAGACCGCTGAGCGTGGGTGTCAGTTAGGAGGACTGGGAAGTCTATGGGCCTCTGGTAGTGGATCAGTATTTATCCCTAGTATACAAATGGACTTTGGGAATCCATCTAGAAGGATACTTTCTCAGCCTAGACACTTGTGGGAGGGCCTTGTCCCAGCCCCAAATGTTATGACAGACTTTGAAAACTTTTCATGGAAGGCCTCACCCTCCCTGGGGAGCAGGAAGGGGATGGGATAGGGGTTAGTGGGGAGACAGGGGAGGAGGGGAGGGTGTGTGGGGGAACTTGGACTGACATGTAAAACAAGCTTGTTTCAAATTTAAATAAAAATATAAAAAAAGATTAATTTTGTGAAGAAGTTCCTTTGATTGAAAATGATCAATTATTGGAAAATTTAAGACCTTGATAATCAATTCTGAAGAAACAGATACATGAATTGTGCCATAATTCCTGAAGTTTTGAGAAAATAAGATTTCTTGGAGTCTATATATGCTTATTTGCAATTTTAAGTATTTTCCTATTTGCATATTACTGCTATTTCTGAAAGAAATTTATATTAAAGTTAATGATAAATGCACCTCAATCAACTAGGAACAAAGATATATATTTAAAATCTACCTAAAATTGCCCATTGAATATTCAGAAATATTAGATTTGATATTGCAATTAACAAATAAACAAATGCTACACCTCAAAACCAGAAACTAATATATTTTCTAGTCTTAGTGGTTGACTAGTATATAGATAGTTTTATTCTTATCAGAAAATAAGTTCACAAAATTTCAAATATTTTCCACTATTTTTCTTTTATAGTTTGTGTTATAACAATTTCTTTATTTTCATATAGATATATTATTATAAATATGTATGCTATACTTTAAGTGTAAAACATAATAAAAGACAAATTTCAGTCTTTTATTCATTACCAATGTTATTTGTTTTATTTAATTATTTAATAATACAATTTCATTGCATACTCATTAAAAAGAATCATCTTCAAGTATCAAATATGCTTATTGTACCATTAATCCCAAGTATATAGTTTACTTCAGAATATCTTTCGAATGAATGAGGGATTACAATTAACTAATATTTAGATGTTAATGGGTACATTATGAACACACTTTTTCTCAGAGTAATTCACAGAGGCCTCACGAGCCGGTGCCCATATAGAGAATAATATACCTTTGCACAGCAGTTTCTCCTGAGAGCTTCATGGTTATTGTTTAATAACGTATTTTAGATCAAGTAACAGCATGGCTAAAACCACTTCCATCACTTTCCAAATCTTTTTCTTTCTTTTTATGTTTTTTTTTTTTCCATTTACTATATTCTGATCATGGTTTCCCCTGCCTCAACTACTCCCAGATCCTTCCCACCTCTACTCTGTATCCCACAGGCTTTCTCTCTCTTTAGAAAACAAATAGGACAGGAGGGGAGGGCCTAGTCCCTACTCCAAATGACTTGACAGATTTAGATGATCCCTCCTGCAAGGCAGGAGTTGGGGGGGGAGTGGAAGGGGAAGGTGGGAGGGGGACGTGGGAGGATGGGAGAGAGGGACGGAGGGACAGAGAGGAACTAGAATCGATATGTAAAATAAGAGAAAAAAAAAAAGAAAACTAACTAACTAAATAAATAAATAACAAACGGGAAAACAAAAAACCCAAACAAACCAGAATAAAACAAAACAAACAGCCCCCAATTAATTATAGTGACACATAAAGCCCCTTTTGCATTATGTTTTTTCATTAGTGGAACCTACCATTCTACCCTATTCACTGATAATACTTTTACACTTGTCTGCATTTCTCATGACTTTTACCAAATCACCTTATCAGCGTCGTCAATATATATGAATTAGTAAACATCATTCCATTCCATCTCCACAGATACGTTCTTTTTTAAAACTTTTAAATACATTTCAGTGTGTGCGTGCATGTGTGTGTGTGTGTGTGTGTGTGAGAGAGAGAGAGAGAGAGAGAGAGAGAGAGAGAGAGAGAGAGAGAGAGAGAGAGAGAGAGGAGCGCACGCGCGTTTGTGCCAAACTCAGGTCATCAGGCTTGGCAGAAGGTACACATTTATACATTGAACAATCTTGCCAGTCTGTATTTTTTTTTTTTTTTTTTTTTGAACAGCTTTAAGCCTTTGTAATACTTGTCTTTTTCTCTTGGTGCATTATGATATGCCACTAGGTTTTGTTGTGCACTCTGGACAACTTCCTGAGAGAATTAGTGCTCAGTGACAATTTTAGAATGAATGTAATGGCTCCAAGAATGGCAAAGGTGAGGTGCTCTTGTGACTATAAGGTTGTTTAAGGCAGTTGAACGTGGTTTTGAGTTCTTTTCCACACAAATCACATAAGCAAAGAAATCATTCACTCAAGAAGAAAAACTTCTAATTGGAGTGTGGCGAATATTCTGAGAGGTTCTATCTATGGAGGACTGGAGTGTCAATCACAAGGATAAGCCCATTTCTCAGGAGAACTCATAACTACTTAACTAACTTTGGCAGCTGAGCTGACAACGCAGCTGCAGGAGGGCGGAGAAAGGGCAGGAGCCACCCGGCAACCAGCGTTAAGGGGAGGGGCTGTAGTGACGCAAGCCTAGTCGAACTGCTTTGTCCCTCTGCGCTCTCCGTCGGGGGTGGGGGGGGGAAGATTGCCGAGAGGGTCATAGGTATGGCGGCTTTTAGGGTAAGTGAAAAGAAACTTAGTTTTCCACTTCCCACTCGCTTTGAGACCAGAGCATTCCAGTAATTGTAGAAGGGACTATCTATCGTAACTCTCGGACAGAGCCACGCAGTAATTGGCGGCCTGGAGGTGCGACTGCGAGAATTGGAATCTTTAACATTTGCTGTCTCCACTCACTTGCTTTGCCGCCTCCTTAATCTTCAGTTAACTGTTTATAGCACGGAGGGCTTTAGTGCCGTAACTCGCTGGGTAATGAAAAGGCCTGAGCAACTAGCTGCTTCGATAAAGAGAAAAACAGTCTTTGGCGTTTGTCTTAGTGTGCAGGGCGGGACTCCATGACCCGAACAAAGGATTTCCTTCAATAATTACTTGGGGCTAAAACAGAGACCTGACGTCCCAGAATCTGTATTGGACGTCAGATTATGCAGTGTAGTTACTACCAGTCGAATAACAGGTTTCTTTGGAGTTTTATGAGAAAAGGTGCTTTTGTGTAGGGATCGGGATAGAGGAAGCGAGCCAGCTGACTTTTAGGTTTCAAAGTCAGTTTACAGATACTTATGCACTGTATTTTTTCAGTGTATAATGACCCTGTGAGGCTTGAAGGAGATTAAGACTGTCAGTAATTCAATCACCCGATGCTGATTTTAAGTTCGTTTGGTGTTGTTCTTCATTTACCATTCTTACTACATTTCTGCATTTTGGGACCTCATACTTTCCCTTGAATTATGGACTGCTCTACTACCTGAACTCTACTCCCTTTATCCCTCTGATGGAATCCATTTTCTCCTTGTTACTATAGTACTTACACAAAAATGAGAGCTTGTACTTTTACTTTAAAGCCTTTATAGGTACTCCATTATCTGCTCTCAGGGGTCTGGTTATACTTCTAGATAACAACCCTTCTCCTAGCCTCTGCTCCCCAGCTTCCTCTTCTGTCACCCAGAAATATATACTTACTTTATCTCGCCATGCACCCTTTTACCTGCTCTTTCTGCAATTCCTAAAGTGTCCTTGCCCATTCTCATTTAATTTCTACCAGGCATGTCCAATGGGCCTTTTGATAAAATGTAACCAATTTGTCCTATACTAAGTTCATTCTGGAGAATCACAGTCAAGTTATTAACAACACCAACAAAACATGCAAAAATCTCCAAAACAAACAAAACATAACAAAACAAAAAACCCAAATTTATAGTGTTTAAATAAGTTTATGATTTTGTTTTGGGTAAGATGTGGCCTTTAGGCCATATGTAAAATAGACTTTCTCACTTTGCTGAGGGAGTGTCCCTGACTAGCTGTAATGATCTACACAAGATAGTTATTGATAACCATACTGATAAGTTAGAAGGTCTAAGTCCTTTAGTCCTTTAGTTCTTTTTTTTTTTTTTTTTGGCCAAACCAAGAGTGGCTTTGTGGGGTTTGTGACTCTGAAAAGTTTCTCAGTGCCCAAGTTTTAAAGGCAAAACCCAGAAAGATACATCAAAGTTAGAGGAGGGTCAGAGTAACCTTGAAACATTTCTGGCAGGGTATAGTAGTTATTTCAGACATAACTTTCCAGTTATTTTGGTTAATACATCTGGACTATGGTCAAGGCTATGGAAATCTCACATGTGTTGCCAAGGCAGACATGACCATTGTGGGGAGGGGGGTAAAAGGCTGAGAACTATCTAAGCAAACATAAAATGAAATCAGAACATGATGGCATTACCTTAGTAATTCTAGTCCCCCGTTTCTAAAAATTATTTTGAAAATTTTTATCTTGGCAAAGGGGTGAATACTGCTTCCTGAAGATCATTAGCTTAACAGAGGCAATTTTGTTTTTATTATTATCTAAGGCCCTATGGCAAGTCTTATAAAAAGGGTGAGTAGGGAACCATTCAGGGCAGTGAAAAGCTGTGAGCCATGCGTTTTAATCAGACATTTTATGGGACTAGAAATTATTTCATTTTTGTTTTTGATCTAAGTTGTTTTTAAAGTATTTGTAAAGTTATTTTTAATGATAACTTTTGATTTGTTAGCATAGAAGCAACATGTCCCTCCTACTGTCACACATTTTTCCCTAGGACATGAATATTAAGTTTAAGCCTTGCCTGTTATGGGGGCCTGTTTCTGTCAGAGACTTTGTCTGGCATGAGTGTAACTGAAGGTTTCTGATGTCTATCTATTTGATTAGTTATCTGTTGTAGGCTCCCTTTCTTCTCATTAGAGCTGTAATATTCAAGGCAGTAGTCTCTGTCATGCCCGCTTCTACCATCATCAGAACAAGGAGAGTGACAGCTTTCTGTACTGCTGGTGGGAACATTTTCACAGTAGTTCTCACAGCCAAGGTAAGGACTTGGTGGCTGTTCAGGTGCTGTTAGCAAGGTGGGAGTCATAGGTGGACTAGGCAGTTTCTCCAAATAATTATTTAGCTCACATAAAGAAATTGACTTAGGGTTAAAGTGTGTTTCAGATTCCCAATTCTGAGCTGCCCACATGGCCAGTGTCACTTCTAATTTTGGTCCAGGGTTAGTTCTCAAAGCACCTCCAACCCAGCTTATTGACTGTCCTCTGTAAGGCTTATTATATTAAACTGCTCCTTTCTATAGCTGCTCCTTTCTATATTCCATGATCTCCATGGTAGTTTCATCAGTTGTTTGGAGATGGAATATTTTGTGGTTTGAGTGCCAAATCCAGGTTATGAATCTCCTCTGCAGTGGCTCTTGCAAACTATTGGTTGTGCCCACCAGGGGCAACAGCAATCAGGCAAATAGCCACAGCATAGATCAGCACCTACCTGGATCCAATGTCCAAGTCACCAGAGATCTAGAGTGATTGTGGGCTGCACTAGCCAAAAGAGATCTGTCTTCTATGGTTAGCCCTGCAGTCCCAGGGGTTTGTGGTAATCTGTGGTAAGCCTGCCCTGGTAGCCTGTGCTATGTAGCAGTTATGTGGTATTGCAGCAAATGGTGCTATTCCACTGCTTTGCAATAAAAGTGTCATAGAAGCCTTTTCTAGCAGTGAAATTTGGCTAGACATGAATCCTTTGTTTCTTTCCTTTTGCTAGAGGAAGTCGCTCAGATGAAACCCCTTGTCAGATTTATAGTTGTCGGTCATCCTCTCTCTTACATTGTCCTTCAGACAGGAAGCTAGAAATTTGAGTGCAGATGTTTCAGCAGAGAATTCCTTGTCAATTATAAATTAGTTAGCATGGATTAACAAAAGCTGTCCCAACCATGTGTGGTAGTGCATATCTTTAATCCCAACACTCAGGATGCAGAGGGAGATGGATCTCTGAGTTCAAGGCCAGCATTGTCTATAGAGTGAGTTCCTCTATATACATAGAAAAAAGAAAAGAAAAGCTGTCCTTCCAACTTCCCCATCCCTGTTATGTGTCGGGAAACAGAACCTCTACCTTCATCTCCTCCTCCTCTTCTTCTCTACCCCCTTTTCTTTTTAACAACCCACTGAAGTAAGCAGGGTGTAGGTGTGGAATCCTCCATTGGAGAATGGCCTCCATCTTGGGGTTAGACCACTGAGGAAAACTGACTCTCCCTTCCCCTGCAGTCATAAACTGTCCATGGCTTCTCTTTAGGGCAGAGGAGACCCTCCCTTTCCAATCCTTGCTGGAACTTTGACTGGCTTGATATAGGGTATGCAAATGGAGATTTTGAATTCATGATTACTCAAGCATGCATCCAGAAGATGTTTCCCAAGGATTTTCTTAACTTCTGGTTCTCATAACCCCACCTCCCAGTTTTTCATGGTATTTCTGAGCCTTAGGGAACCAAAAAATGTGATGCATATATCCAGTTTGGGGCTGAGCACTTCGTAGATAACTTGCTTTTTTTCATATGGTTGATTTTTTTAAAAAGGAATATCCAAACTGATTTTCCAAGAGGCTGAAGTAGTTTATACTCACACCAGCAATATATAAGGGTCCTTCCCATCACATCCACACCAGCATTTACTGTCATTTCTGGATGATGGGCATTCGAACTGGAGTTATTTTAAATTGGGTTATTTGTCTCCTCTAGTTTCCCAGAAGTGGTTCAACCTATATCTCACATGTACATTGATTGGCCTGGTAGGTTGAATAATATAGCAAAAAACACAAAAAACCCACCCTGACTCCAGATGCCCAGGTCTTATTAGGAAAACACATGCCTTATGAAAACATATTATGTCCCTGACATCCTAAAGCATATTGTCATCATTTCTCCCAGTCTTTTATTTTTCATTCAATCCTTTGAAGTTGACTATTTGAAATGCTGGTGAGCAAGGACTGAATTGCACAAGTCATTTTTTGTTATTATTGTACTTGGATTGTTGTTTTGTTGTTGTTGTCCAGTTTCCACAATTTTCCTCAAGAGTTTTTCAAGAAAATACAGTCTCTCTCTCTCTCTCTCTCTCTCTCTCTCTCTCTCTCTGTCTCTCTCTGTGTGTGTGTGTGTGTGTATTTCCTTTTTCAGTAAAGTATCTGATTTTCATTTTGTAGTATAATAAATAACACTGTGGCTGAAAGGTTTTCTCTGCTTTGTAGATTTAATGATACTTTATTGTTTTAGAGATGATTCACTTACCCACTATTTCCAGAAGAAAATAAGTATCCTGATATATACAGGTCCTCTGTTAGTGACTCACTGGTGATTACTCTAAAACAGGGCACTCTTTTCTGAGACTTTTATGTTGCTGCCAAGAAATAGCTCCTAGGCTGTATCTCTAAAATGAAGCATTACTACTTTTTTTTTCCTTTTTAGTTTCAGCTAGAGAAAATAGTAGTATATCTGTTAAAGTAGATGAAGAGCTTAGTGGCATTTATTATTATGTCAGACTTTATTACTCTTGGAAAATTGTCTAGTGTGAATAGGGGTGTTTGTAGTCCAGCATTCAGAAGAACAGAGTAAGGTGTGCTTTCATAGAGAAGAAAGATAGTCTTAGCCTCCTCTTTATGACCCAAAAGAGTCTATGGAGATCAGTGAAAATTATATAGTCATTAACTGAGTCTACTGAAGATCTTCACA